CCGCAACCCCTTAATACAGTTCCTCATGTTGTGGTGACCCCCAACCATAACTTTATTTTTTTTTTTTGCTACTTCCTAACTGTGATTTTGCTACTGTTATGAATCGTCATGTAAATATCAGATATGCAGGATGTGTTTTCATTCATTGGGCCAAATTTGGCACAAATACCCAATACGCCCAAATCTGAATACTGGTGGGGTTGGTGGGACATTGATTTTGTCATTTGGGAGTTGTAGTTGCTTGGATTTATAGTTCATCTACAATCAAAGAGCATTCTGAACTCCACCAACAATGAAACTGAACCAAACTTGGCCCACAGAACTCCCATGACCAAGAGAAAATACTGGAAGGGTTTGTTGGGCATTGACCTTGAGTTTTGGAGTTGTAGTTCACCTGTATCCATATAGCACTGTGGACTCAAGCAATGATAGTTCTGGACCAAACATGGCACGAATACCCAATATGCCCAGATGTGAACACTGGTGGAGTTTGGGGAAAATAGACTAAGACATTTGAAAGTTGTAGTTGCTTGGGTTTATAGTTAACCACCAATCAGAGAGCACTTCGAACCCAGCCCACAATGGATCTTCACAAAAATTGGCACACTACCTACATGACCCACATTGAATACTGGTAGCATTGGGCAGGGGTGTTTTTGAATTTTGGGAGTTGTAGTTCACCAACACCAAAAAGGAAGAGAAGAACAGGCGGAGAGGTCTTGAGCCTTCTCTGCCAAAGAGGTTCCTAAGACCATCAGAAATATGTGTTTTCTGATGGTCTTTGATGACCCCTCTGAAACCCCCTCGTGACCCCCCCAGGGGTCCCGACCCCCAGGTTGAGAAACACTGAACCAGGCCTTTGTTCCCTTTGAACTGTTCATTGCCTAGAAACATCCTTTGCCTGGGCGGTGTTCACTGGACCTTGCTTAGGCAATCCCTCTCATAGCCCAAAGATGATGGTCCTCCAAGTGTAGTATCTTAGTGGTGGGTCCATAAGAGGCTCTGAAGCCCTGTTCTTGATCCGCATGTTTTCCCACAGTGAGAACATTGGTTTGCAGACAGAAGGCGGTCCTGGTCAGAGTTGGCTTGATGCACCTTCCTCTTGGCTCTTTTGCCCTCCATTTGTGCCTCTTCAAATTCTGCAGCACTGCTGGTCACAGCTGACCTCCAGTTAGAGTGCTCAAGGACCAGGGCTTCCCAGTTCTCTCTTGGTGTCTATGCCACAGTTTTCCTCTTGGCACGTTACTCCCTTTTGCCCTCCATTTGTGCCAGTTCTGTTTGTATGGCCGTGTGTGCACACGCACTTGGCTCTCAATGCTGTAACGGCAGCTCTTCCCTTGTGTGGATTTTTGGGGTTTCTGCTGTTTCTTTGGGGGGGGGGGTTGAGCGAAGGACATACATTGGGTTGTTAGGTGTATTGTGTCCAAATTTGGTGTCAATTCCCCCAGTGGTTTTCGAGTTCTGTGAATAGCACAAACGAACATTACATTTTTATTTATATAGATTTATTATTTTACTCTATTATTGTTATTATTACATTTATTATTTTACTCTATTATCACTGTTATTATTATGTTTCCATTATTTTACTCTATTATTATTACATTTATTATTTTACTCTATTATTATTGGAAGGATACGTAAGCACATTTACATTGAAGAAGGTTAGAATAATGGTTTAATCAGAGTTAGACTGTCTTATCTTAAATCACAGTTTTATGTAAATATTCAAAAACATTTAATCTCTCGATACCTCAATTAATATAATTTTATTGGTATCTATTTCCATTTTGAAATTGGCCAGTAGCTGCTGCATTTTGACCAGTAGCTGCTGCTGCTCGGCTTATACTCGAGTCAATCTGTTTTCCCAGTTATTTTGTGGCTAAAAATAGGTTCCTTGGCTTATATTCGGGTCGGCTTATGCTCGAGTATATACGGTATATATTTTCTACTTGCTTGACCACCATCAGATCCCCAATGCTTCCTCTTCATCCTGGAAAGAAGTGACGAGCGGAGTGTCACAAGCAGGGTTCCGTCCTGGGCCCGGTCCTGTTCAGGATCTTTATTAATGACTTGGATGAAGGGTTAGAAGGCAGGATCATCAAGTTTGCAGACGACACCAAATTGGGAGGGAGAGCCAATACTCCAGAGGACAGGAGCAGGATTCAAAACGATCTTGACAGATTAGAGAGATGATTGGCCAAAACTAACAAAATGAAGTTCAACAGGGACAAATGCAAGATACTCCACTTTGGCAGGAAAAACAAAATGCAAAGAGACAGAATGGGGGACAATGCCTGGCTTGAGAGCAGTACGTGTGAAAAAGATCTTGGAGTCCTCGTGGACAACAAGTTAAACATGAGCCAACAATGTGATGTGGCGGCAAAAAAAGCCAATGGGATTTTGGCCTGCATCAAGAGGAGCATAGTGCCTAGATCTAGGGAAGTCATGCTCCCCATGCTCTATTCCGCTTTGGTTAGACCACACCTGGAATATTGTGTCCAATTCTGGGCACCACAATTCAAGAGAGATATTGACAAGCTGGAATGTGTCCAGAGAGGGAGACTAAAGTGATCAAGGGTCTGGAGAACAAGCCCTATGAAGAGCAGCTTTAGGAGCTGGGCATGTTTAGCCTGAAGAAGAGAAGGCTGAGAGGAGATATGATAGCCATGTATAAATATGTGAGAGGAAGCCACAGGGAGGAGGGAGCAAGCTTGTTTTCTGCTTTCTTGGAGACTAGACGCGGAACAATGGCTTCAAACTACAAGAGAGGAGATTCCATCTGAACATTAGGAAGAACTTCCTGACTGTGAGAGCCGTTCAGCAGTGGAACTCTCTGCCCCTGAGTGTGGTGGAGGCTCCTTCTTTGGAAGCTTTTAAACAGAGGCTGGATGGCCATCTGTCAGGGGTGATTTGAATGCAATATTCCTGCTTCTTGGCAGAATGGGGTTGGACTGGATGGCCCAGGAGGTCTCTTCCAACTCTTTGATTCTATCATTCTATGATTCTATGCAGGCAAAACAAAAGAAAGGAGGAAATGCTGCTAGACCACACTGGCCATACAGCCCAGAAACCACACAACACCTCAATTCTTCTTTCTCTTTCAATTTAGAAACTGGCTCTTTGGCAGAGCAAAACAGAAGTAAAACTGGCACTTGGCAAGCAACACAGATCGGCCCTGACCCAAAGGCTGGAGACTGGGTGGATCTGTGAAATGAATGCAGTCTGACGCCACTTTCACTGTCATGGCACAATGCTATGGAATCCTGGGAATTTGTAGCTTTACAAGGTCTTTGCTATACAGACAGGCATTCTAGGTTTTAAGAAGGACGATTTTGGGAAACTTGTGCAAAATTGAATATGATCTCATGGTCAGGAATGCTTCCTAATGCCACGACCCAGCCCTACCAGTATTCAAATTTGGGTGTATCGGGTATTTGTGCCCAATTTGGTCCAGTGAAAGAAAATACATCTTGCATATCATAATAGTCGCAAGATTACAGTTATGAAGTAGCAACAAAAATAATGTTATGGTTGGGGGTCACCACAACATAGAATCCTAGAGTTGGAAGAGACCTCCTGGGCCATCCAGTCCAACCCCATTCTGCCAAGAAGCAGGAATATTGCATTCAAATCACCCCTGGCAGATGGCCATCCAGCCTCTGTTTAAAAGCTTCCAAAGAAGGAGCCTCCACCACACTCCAGGGCAGAGAGTTCCACTGCTGAACGGCTCTCACAGTCAGGAAGTTCTTCCTAATGTTCAGATGGAATCTCCTCTCTTGTAGTTTGAAGCCATTGTTCCATTGCGTCCTAGTCTCCAGGGAAGCAGAAAACAAGCTTCCAATACCCAATGCACCCACATGTAAATGTTAGTGGGGTTCAGGGAGGATTGATTTTGTAATTTGGGAGTTGTAGTTGCTGGGATTTATAGTTCACCTATAATCAAAGAGCATTCTGAACTTCACCAGCAATGGATTTGAACCTAATTTGCCACACAGAACCATGGCCAACAGAAAACACTGGAAGGTTTTGGTAAGTATTGACCTTGAGTTTGAGAGTTGTAGTTCACCTATATCCAGAGAGCACTGTGGACTCATGCAATGGTTGATCTGGACCAAACTTGGCACAAATACTCAATGTGCTCAAATGTGAACACTGGTGGAGCCTGGGGAAAATAGACCTTGACTTTTGGGAGTTGTAGTTGCTGGGATTTATAGTTCATAGAATCATAGAAGCATAGAATCAAAGAGTTGGAAGAGACCTCATGGGCCATCCAGTCCAACCCCATTCTGCCAAGAAGCAGGAATATTGCATTCAAATCACCCCTGACAGATGGCCTTCCTGCCTCTGTTTAAAAGCTTCCAAAGAAGGAGCCTCCACCACACTCCAAGGCAGAGAGTTCCACTGCTGAACGGCTCTCACAGTCAGGAAGTTCTTCCTCGTGTTCAGATGGAATCTCCTCTCTTGTAGTTTGTAGTTCATTACAATCAAAGAATATTCTGAACTCCACCAACCATAGAATTGGCTCAATCTTCCCACATGGAACCCTCATGACTATCAGAAAATACTGTGTTTTCTGATGTTCTTTGGCGACCCCCCTGAAACCCCTTCGCGACCCCCTCAGGTGTCCTGACCCCCAGGTTGAGAAACACTGGTCTACGGTGTTATTGTTGTTACATACCGGAAGTGTGTGTCTGCCATAGAGATTTATTGTGCAAAGACTGTCTTGAGATCGAGAGTTGGGTGTGCTGCTCAGGGCAAGCAGAATGCAGGAATGACCACACACCGGAGCAATAAAAGCCATTTGGTGAGTCACAGAACAAACTACCTGAAGCGCCAGAGCCAGGCAGAGCATGAGTGGAGAGAAACTACTAGAGCAGTCCAGTTTAAGACAATGACACTCTGAACAATTCTTATAATTGCGCCACTTGGGGAAAACCCTCTTACGGAAATGCATACTCCTTTGGGCTTCCTTTTTCAGCTCATTCTCACTTCCTTTCCCCATGAGCTGAAAGGCAACGGTTTGTTTCTTCTGCAGAAGGCTAATTTAGGGCTCCCAGGATGTCTATGGCCGGGGTGTCCCTGGCATCGCTCCTCTTCTCCTTTTGCTTTTTGACCCTCCGTTCCAGAGTCCTGGGTTCGAATCCTGGGTTCGTGGGCAGGATCACCAACAAAGGCCTGGATTATGGTAAGGCACCCTGTTTTGTTTTGCTACCATCTCAAACTGCATTATATGGCAGATCCAGCCAAAGTGGTGTCAAACTGCATTGATTCTACAGTGTAGATCAGGCAAGGGCAAACTTCAGCAAACTTTGAAGTCCAAAACACCTGGAAGGCCGAAGTTTGCTCATGCCTGGTGTAGTTGCACCCATCTTTTGCATTGATTGAGCTCTCAAACTAGTGTTTCTCAACCTTCCTAATGCTGTGACCCCTTAATACAGTTCCTTTTGTTGTGGAGACCCCCAACCATAAATTATTTCCATTGCTACTTCATAACTGTAATTTTGCTCCTGTTCTGAATCGTAATGTAAACATCTGATATGCAGGATGTATTTTCATTCTCTGGACCAAGTTTGGCACAAATACCCAATACACCCAAATTTGAATACTGGTGGGGTTGGGAGGCAGGGGTTGATGTTGTCATTTGGGAGTTGTAGTTGCTGGGATTTATAGTTCCCCTACAATCAAAAAGCATTCTGAATGCCACCAATGATGGAATTGAGCCAAACTAGGCACACAGAACTCCCATGACCAACAGAAAATACTAGAAGGGTTTGGTGGGCATTGACTTTGAGTTTTGGAGTTTATTTATTTATTTATTTATTTGCTTTACTTCTATACCGCCTTTCTCAGCCGAAATGGCGACTCAAGGCGGTTTACACAGTAAAGATTAACACAATAACATCAAAAAGGCAATTAAAAACACATTATACAAACATATCAAGTCAAAAACAATCATTATCATAGACGTGCGCCTCAGCAGACAAATCAGAATCAGAATCCGTAATCAGAATCCTTTATACCAATTCCTATGTTCAGTTGTACCATCTTACTGTATTTCATTGCACTATTTAGCCAAACGCTTGTTCGTAAAGCCAAGTCTTGACCTTCCTCCGGAATGCCAGCAGTGAAGGGGCCTGTCTGATGTCCACAGGTAGGGCGTTCCACAGCCGAGGGGCCACCACCGAGAAGGCCCTGTCTCTCGTCCCCGCCAACCGCGCCTGCGATGCGGGCGGGACCGAGAGCAGGGCCTCCCCAGAAGATCTTAATGTCCTAGTCGGTTCATAGGAGGAGATGCGTTCGGAGAGGTAAGTAGGGCCAGAACCGTTTAGGGCTTTATAGGTTAAAGCCAGCACCTTGAATTGTGCCCGGTAGCAAACTGGCAGCCAGTGGAGCTGGCGCAGCAGAGGAGTGGTGTGCTCCCTGAGTGCCGCTCCTGTTAGCAACCTGGCTGCCGAACGTTGGACCATTTGAAGCTTCCGAGCAGTCTTCAAGGGCAACCCCACGTAGAGAGCGTTGCAGTAGTCTAAGCGGGATGTAACCAGAGCGTGGACTACCGTGGCCAAGTCAGACTTCCCAAGGTATGGGAGCAGCTGGCACACAACATCCAGAGAGCACTATGGACTCGAACAATGATGGATCTGGACCAAACTTGGCACGAATACTCAATATGCCCAAATGTGAACACTGGTGGAGTTTGGGGAAAATAGAATCTTGACATTTGGGAGTTGTAGTTGCTGGGATTTAGAGTTCACCTACAATCAAAGAGCATTCTGAACTCCACCAACGATGGAATTGAACCAAACTTGGCACACAGAACTCCCATGACCAACAGAAAATACTGGAAGGGCTTAGTGGGCATTGTGAGTTTTGGAGTTGTAGTTCACCTACATTCAGAGAGCACTATGGACTCAAACAATGATGGATTTGAACCAAACTTGGCACGAATACTCGATATGCCCAAATGTGAACACTGGTGGAGTTGGGGGTAAATAGACCTTGACATTTGGGAGTTGTAGTTGTTGGGATTTTATAGTTCCCCTACAATCAAAGAGCATTCTGTACTCCACCAACGATGGAATTGAACCATTCTTGGCACACAGAACTCCCACAACCAACAGAAAATACTGGAAGGGTTTAGTGGGCATTCACTTTGAGTTTTGGAATTGTAGTTCACCTACATCCAGAGAGCACTATGGACCCAATCAATGATGGATTTGGACCAAACTTGGCACACATACTCAATATGCCCAAATGTGAACACTGGTGGAGTTTCTGGAAAATACATCTTGACATTTGGGAGTTGTAGTTGTTGGGATTTATAATTAACCTACAATCAAAGAGCATTCTGAACTTATCGATAATGAAATTGAGCCAAGCTTGGCACACAGAACGGCCACGACCAACAGAAAATACTGGAGTTTGGTGGGCATTGACCTTGAGTTTTGGAGTTGTAGTTCACCTACATCCAGAGAGCACTATGGACTCAAACAATGATGGATTTGGACCAAACTTGGCACGAATACTCAATATGCCCATATGTGAAAACTGGTGGAGTTTGGGGAAAATAGACCTTGACTTTGAGAGCATTCTGAACTCCACCAACGATGGAATTGAACCAAACTTTGCACACAGAACTCCCACGACCAACAGAAAATACTGGAAGGGTTTGGTGGGCATTGACCGTGAGTTTTGGAGTTGTAGTTCACCTACATCCAGAGAGCAGATGGAGGACTTTTGGTGGGAGGATTCACCATCTGTTTCCAAAATAGAAGAACAGGTGGAGAGATCTTCAGCCTTCTCTGTCAAAGAGGTTACTAATGCCATCAGAAATATATGTTTTGTGATGGTCTTGGGCAACCCCTCTGAACCCCCCTTGCGACCCTCCCAAGGGTCCCGACCCTCAGGTTGAGAAACACTAGTGTCAGTCCCACAGGGCAGTGCAAAGAGGGAAATTAGTCTGGATTTTGAAGAATGTTTCTGGTTGCCCTCTCTCTCCTCCATCTTTGTTATCTCCTCCATCGCTCTCCTGAAGATGAGAATTCATTGCTAATTCCTGACATGTCTGCATCCTTGTGAACAGGAAGGGCATGGTCTTATCAGGGACCTCGCATGTCTAATCCCGCACTTTGGCTTCACCTTTCTCCCAGAGAATCTTTATCTCCGCTTGAGGTCCCTGTAAAATTGCTATGACATTTGCCAGTTTCACACTTGCTACAACATTTGGGAGTTGTAAATACTGAGATTTATAGTTAACCTAGAATCAAAGAGCCCTCTGAATGCAGTCCACAATGGAGCTTCACCAAACTTGGCATACGACCTATATGGCCAATATTGAATACTGGTGAGGTTGGGGGTTGGAATGTTTTTGAATTCTGGGCCCGGTCCTGTTCAACATCTTTATTAATGACTTAGATGAAGGGTTAGAAGGCAGGATCATCAAGTTTGCAGACGACACCGAATTGGGAGGGATAGCCAATACTCCAGAGGACAGGAGCAGGATTCAAAACGATCTTGACAGATTAGAGAGATGGCCAAAACTAACAAAATGAAGTTCAACAGTGACAAATGCAAGATACTCCACTTTGGCAGGAAAAAAAAATGCAAAGATACAGAATGGGGGACAATGCCTGGCTCGAGAGCAGTACGTGTGAAAAAGTTCTTGGAGTCCTCGTGGACAACAAGTTAAACATGAGCCAACAATGTGATGTGGCGGCAAAAAAGCCAATGGGATTTTGGCCTGCATCAATAGGAGCATAGTGTCTAGATCTAGGGAAGTAATGCTACCCCTCTATTCTGCCTTGGTTAGACCACATCTGGAATATTGTGTCCAATTCTGGGCACCACAATTGAAGAGAGATATTGACAAGCTGGAATGTGTCCAGAGGGCGACTAAAATGATCAAGGGTCTGGAGAACAAGCCCTATGAGGAGCGGCTTAAGGAGCTGGGCATGTTTAGCCTGAAGAAGAGAAGGCTGAGAGGAGACATGATAGCCATGTATAAGTATGTGAGAGGAAGTCATAGGAAGGAGGGAGAAGCTTGTTTTCTGCTGCCCTGGAGACTAGGGTGCGGAACAATGGCTTCAAACTACAAGAAAGGAGATTCCATCTGAACATGAGGAAGAACTTCCTGAGTGAGAGCCGTTCAGCAGTGGAACTCTCTGCCCCGGAGTGTGGTGGAGGCTCCTTCTTTGGAAGCTTTTAAACAGAGGCTGGATGGCCATCTGTCAGGGGTGCTTTGAATGCAATATTCCTGCTTCTTGGCAGAATGGAGTTGGACTGGATGATGGCCCAGGAGGTCTCTCCGAACTCTTTGATTCTATGATTCTAGAGGCGGAAAGATCTTTAGCTTTCTCTGCCAAAGGAATTCCTAAGACCATCAGAAATATGTATTTTCTGATGGTCTTCGGTGACCCCTCTGAAACCCCCCTTGTGACCCCTCCAGGAGTCCCGACCCCCAGGTTGGGAAACACTGTCTTAAACAAAACTGCATAACATGCTTCCATCTTTATTTTAGATTATTATTATTATTATTATTATTATTATTATTATTATGTTTATTTATATCCTATTTTTCTCTCCATACGGAGACTCAAAGTGGCTCACAACTAAAAGCATTTCATTACAACTAAAAATATACCTATACTGAAACCATATTAAACAACATTAATATTAAAACAATCTAGGTTTAAACCGTAAAAGCATATACAATCACATCACAAAATCACAGCAACCCTTGATGGCCTGAAACACCTTCACCTTTAATTTTTAATCAGAAATAATAATAATAAAAAAAGACCGTAGGAGGGGTGCTGTTGCTCTTTCCTCTATGACGAAGAGCCGTCAGGACTTCCTCCTTCCTTTTGGTCACCCAGCATTTTCTGATCTTCTTTCTTTATGGAGTCGTAAAACACCTCCTCTGCTTTTTTAGCAGTACCTAATTTCTCTAATCACAGCTAAAGCTGTTTTCGAATTGCTTAGGTAAACAATGAGCTAGGCTGACAGTTGGCAGCTCACACCAACCCGGGACTTCGAACTTGCAACCTTTTGGTTGATAGATCTTATAATTGCTGACGATTTTCCAGCTGTGCTAAACCTCTGGCCCTGTCTAAAACAAATCTAAACCAAACAAATTAACCTAAGATTCACCGACACCATATATATTAAGCACACAGATACAGAAACTATTCTACTAACTTTCCACTCATTGTGTGTTGATTTTTACCCCTTGGTATCCTTCTCCCTTTAGGTCAAACTATAGTATCACACTTCTACTCCTAGTAACAATTTTCTGTTTTCATATTTGCAATAGCTAACGTTTGCCCACAACGTCGCTGTGAAAATCCTTCTTGAAGTTGGTCACAGATTTCTCCTCTACGGGCACAGTCAATGTGTCCCACTCAGCTCACTTGCAGATCTTCATTGGCTGTTCTTCTTGCATTGGGATAATGGGTTCCTTCCATGGCTTTGCTTCCCTCTTGAAGGCAACGTCCTTCTTCTGACCTTCTTCAGTGCTCTTCTTGCTCCATTTCAGCTCGCCAAGAAGGGGTTGCCGTCCTCCAACAGGAACTGGCCACGATAAAGCTGCCCGATTTCTCCGGCTCCTTCCATGTCAAAGTTCTTGGAAACGTAGACTACAGTTTCTATAGGTGAGAAACACTATATGACAATATATGTCCTGGGTTGTTGTAGGGAAGGGAAGGGGATGGGAAGGAAAGGAAAGGAAAGGAAAGGAAAGGAGAGGAAAGGAGAGGAGAGGAGAGGAGAGGAAGGAAAGGAAGGAAAGGAAAGGAAAGGAAAGGAGAGGAAGGAAAGGAAGGAAAGGAAAGGAAAGGAAAGGAGAGGAGAGGAAGGAAAGGAAGGAAAGGAAAGGAAAGGAAAGGAGAGGAAGGAAAGGAAAGGAAGGAAAGGAAAGGAAAGGAAAGGAGGAGAGGGAAAGGAAGGGAAGGGAAGGTGTATGAGGGAAAGCAAGGGATGAGGGGAAGAAAAGAACAAGGTAACAGTGTGATGGAACGGGAATAAGAAAAGAAAAATCCCCATAGATAATGCCATGTGTGTATACACTAGTTTTAGAATAAGGATCACCCACTTGAATTGCAACTCTAAACCTTGTCCCATAAATTGTTAGAGCTCCAGCGTCTCATGTGATCCATCTCAACATGACAGATAGAATCATAGAATCATAGAATCATAGAATCAAAGAGTTAGAAGAGACCTCATGGGCCATCCAGTCCAACCCCCTGCCAAGAAGCAGGAATATTGCATTCAAATCACCCCTGACAGATATTTCCTCACCTCTCCTTCTTTTGCTTCCCCCAGTTTGAATATACGCAGTTTCCAGCTTCCAAATTCGGCCATAACCCCAATCCCCGGCGTGGGCCTGAAGGTCTCCATCAGCAACGCTTTTGCAGAATTGACAGGAGACTGGAAGGTGAAGAAGAGGTGGCTGTGAGTACAACTTTGCTCCTTGTCTCATGGAAACTGTCCAAAAAACACGGGTCACAATCGTTCATTAATGGATTGATTGCTATGCTTTACCAGCCCTATGCCGTTGAAGACATGCTGGGAGAAGTCATTGTTAGCTATGGGGTCCCATTCCATCAGTATGCAGATGACATGGGACTCTTTCTCCTCAATCCAAGGAAGATGATTTGGTTCTAATCACATCATATAATCATAGAATCAAAGAGTTGGAAGAGACTTCATGGGCCATCCAGTCCAACCCTCTGCCAAGAAGCAGGAATATTGCATCAGTAATGCATTAGCTCAGGATTGAAACTAGAAATCCCTGTTTCTGCAGAGTCACACTGGAGGATCTAGGGATGCTGAGAAAGGTGTCCCCTCTAGACATTTCCTAGGTTCTCCAGTGCAATTTTATGGTATACTTCCATTGGGAGATTGCATTGAACATTAGGAAGAACTTCCTGACTGTGAGAGCCGTTCAGCAGTGGAACTCTCTGCCCCGGAGTGTGGTGGAGGCTCCTTCTTTGGAAGCTTTTAAGCAGAGGCTGGATGGCCATCTGTCAGGGGTGATTTGAATGCAATATTCCTGCTTCTTGGCAGGGGGTTGGACTGGATGGCCCATGAGGTCTCTTCCAACTCTTTGATTCTATGATTCTATGATTCTATGAAGTAATTAATTCTGCAGAAATTTCTTTGTGTATCCATGCAAAATCCTGGAAAGTACCTCCTGTAGATATTGGGGTTGCACTATAGTCTTTCCCCTCTAACTTATCTATGTTTGAAGTCCTGAAGGGGAGACAATGGCTGAATCTACTAAATTATATGGGTCTTCACCATATAGTGCAGTTTGAGTCTGCATTTTTAGGGTCTACACTGACCATATAATGAAGAAGAGAAGGCTGCATTATCTGGTAGTGTAGATCCAAACAATAGAGGTGTGTGACTCGGCATTTTTTTTTTACTGTTTTTAGTCCCATTTTCAGCTGCCACCTTGTCTTGTTTACAGGAAAATTCCAGAAATTGGGAGGGGGGGGGGATTCCATTTTTGTTTTTGTTAAGATTCTTCCTCACTTGTAGGCCACATTTACAACTGCAAACATTAATTTATTTTATTTATTTGGGGTTCTTCGACCCCGCCCTTCTCACCCCGAAGGGGACTCAGGGCGGCTTACAAAGGCAAAGGCACAATTTGATGCCTGCATCATAAAACAATCATACACAAAATTACATCAATTCACAGTTAACAACAACTTATGCATTATAACCATAAAATCAATAAAATCAATAAAACCAATACAAACCCAATTTCTCCTCTTACATGGTCAGCGTTCGCTAACTCATAGATCTAGTTTTACTTTCCACTTCATCAATCCTGTTGGACATACTCGCCTGGTTGTCTGATTTAATTGCCAGAGTGCCCAAAGGCCTGGTCCCATAACCACGTCTTCACCCTCCTCCTGAAGGCAAGGAGGGATGGTGATGCCCTGATTTCTCCCAGGAGTGAATTCCACAGGTGAGGGGCCACCACTGAGAAAGCCCTGCTTCTCGTCCCCGCCAGCCTCACTTGTGACAGTGGTGGGGTCGAGAGCAGGGCCTCCCCAGATGATCTCAGACTCCGGGGTGGGACGTAGAGGGAGATACGTTCGGACAGATACACTGTTCGGACAGATACACAGATAAACATGCCAAGTTTCAGAACGTTTCGCCAACCCACTGATTTTATTTTTGGAATTTTTTAAAGTTTTTACCATAACATTTTTAAAACAACTCACAAAATGGTATTCTGGGAATTGAAGTCCCAAGCGCACGCCACAAGAGGGGAGGAGAATGGACAAAGTCAATAAGGCCTCTGATTGGTCGAGAATTAAAGTGAGAAACGCACAAAGAGAAAAAACTCAATTCCCATTATGCCATGGGAGGGAAGCACAGAGGCTCCTTCAATGCCCATACCGCGCAAAGAGTTGCTAGGAAAGCATTCCCATTTGCCTCAAGTGGGCACTTTGGGTTGGTGGGGTGCTTCAGGAAGGGATGGAGGAAGCTGCCAGGGAAGAAAGAATAGGAGGAGCCACAACTTCCCTGATTTGCAAGGCTGCCCTGGCCACACACCGTCTCCACTTCAAGTAGAGTGCCCCTCAGCCACATTAGCCCCCATCAGCTTATAAGATTTGGAGGTTGTGATCTGTATCAGCTAGGACTTTGGCTGCCCCCCACCTGGTCCGTTTTTGGGGAATCACCAGCTGGAACTCTCAAATCCCCCTTAAATAGCACTCCAAAACAATATTATGGGCACCCCCACTATACAATGGGCTGGGTTTTTTTTTTTTTAATCATTACTCCTGCTGTGAATGGAGAACTAAGAGAGGATCTACACCAGTGTTTCTCAACCTGGGGGTCGGGACCCCTGAGGGGGTCACGAAGGGGTGTCAGAGGGGTCACCAAAGACCATCAGAAAACACAGTATTTTCTGATGGTCATGGGGATTCCATGTGGGAAGTCTGAGCCAATTCTATCGTTAGTGGAGTTCAGAATGTTCTTTGTAGTGAACTATTAATCCCAGCAACTACAACTCCCAAAAGTCAAGGTCTATTTTCCCCAGACTCCACTAGTGTTCACATTTGCGCATATTGAGTATTTGTGCCAAGTTTGCTCCAGATCCACCATTGCGTGAGTCCGCAATGCCCTCTGGATATAGGTGAACTACAACTCCCAAACTCAAGGTCAATGCCCACCAAACCCTTGCAGTGTTTTCTGTTGGTCATGGGAGTCCTGTGTGGCAAATTAGGTTCAAATCCATTGCTGGTGGAGTTCAGAATGCTCTTTGATTATAGGTGAACTATAAATCCCAGCAACTGCAACTCCCAAATGACAAAATCAATCCTCCCCAACCCCACTAGCATTAACATGTGGGTGCATTGGGTATTTGTGCCCAGTTTGGTCCAGTGAATGAAAATACATCTTGCATATCTGATATTTATATTATGATTTATAACAGTAATAAAATGACTGTTATGAAGTAGCAACAAAAACGATGTTATGGTTGGGGGTCACCACAACATGAGGGACTGTATTAAGGGGTCGCGGCATTAGGAAAGTTGAGAACCACTGATCTACACTATAAAATTACTGCAGTCTGTCTCCACTTCAACTGCCATGGCTCAATGCTATCGAATCCTGGAAGCTGTAGTTTTGCAAGGACTGGAGCGTTCCCTGCCGATCTGGCCACAGTCGTCCACACTCTTGTCACATCCCGAATAGATTACTGCAACTTGCTCTATGTGGGGTTGCCTTTGAAGACTGTTCAGAAACTGCAATTAGTCCAACGGGCGGCAGCTAGATTACTCACCGGAGCATCATATAGGGAGCACCCCATTATGTCAGCTCCACTGTCTGCCAATCCAATTCCAAGCACAATTCAAAGTGCTGGTTTTTACCTATAAAACCCTATACAGCTCTGGTCCAACGTACCTATCTGAATGCATCTCCTTCTATGTCTCACCTTGGAGCTTAAAATCTTCTGGGGAGGCCTTGCTCTCGGCCCCGCCTCTGTCTCAAACACGTTTGGTGGGGATGAGGGACAGGGCCTTCTTGGTGGTGGCCCCCCGTCTGTGGAATTCACTCCCCGGGGAAATTAGGTCATCGTCATC